AAAATGGAATATTACTCAGCCATAAAGAATGAGAAAATAGATTCATTCATAGGAAAATGGATACATATTGAAGATGTACTCCTAAGAAAAATAAATAAGTCACACATGTGTAAATACCGAATAGTTTCCCTGGTGTGAATAATCTGCAGCAATGCATAAGATTCTAATAGATTACTGACATTTAGAAATGGGAAGAAAGGAGCTAAAAGTGTAGGGAAGGTGGGAAGAGTAAAAAAGGGAAAAGAAAAAAATGTGAGAGAATGAAAAGATGAAAATAAAGTGTTTGTAGATGGGGAGGGGAGGAGGGGGTGAATGGAGGGCAGAGGTAAGGGGAAAAAATGAGAATCAAGACTTGTCATGTAGAGGTACAAGATCCCAACAATGAATGTAACTGTACTGTATCCCTAAAATGTACCAATAAACTCAATTAAAGCTGAAAAAAAAAGAAAAAAAAATATATATATATATTCTTCAACTTGCAGAAAATACAATAGTTGTTTTGGTAACAGATAACACGTAATTAAAATTAAATAATTATCCACAGACTTATACCACACCTCCATTAGTAAACTCCAAGATACGTTTTGTAATCCTCTAATTCATCCTTGGTCCTCTCATCTCTTTTCATAGTCTCACCTAAATTCTACATTGGTGTGACAGACAAGAGCAGAAATTATTCCACTACTATTTCAGAGAAAGAAGTGAGCCCCTTCTTCCCTATTTTTTTAATATAAAACATCTAGTACAGGCTTTGTGGAAACTAACATGCTATAATGTTAAGTTCAAGAGTAGCAATCACCCTGGTGTTAGTCCCAACATTGAAAAAGGAAAAGAATGTCAAATTAGCAGGCAGGTGCAGAAAAATACACAAAGCAGATGGGAAAGTCAGAGATGACAGAAAACTTCATTAATTAAAGCCACCACAAGACAAAACATAATAAAGTAAAAGTCTTGTGATGAGTATAGTGTAGCACAGTGTTGTCCAAAGAATTTCCCACAGGGATATGGACATTTACTACTTGAAAGAAGACTACTCCAATGGAGGGAATGAGTTTTTAATTTTTTTAATTTTAATTAATTTAAATGGCCACATGGAGCTTTGAGCTAATAATTTCGGCCAGTTCAAGTATTTAAGATAAAGAAGACCTTGCTTTCTTTAAGTGGTTCAGCAGTCAGGGTGAGAAGAGCTCTGGCTTACAGAGGATGACTGTGAGGAGAGGGTACCAGAAGTCACATCCTGGGCCCTGACTGCACCATGAGATTAAACAGGTTCTTTGGCCCTTGGTTTCCTGTGAGTGCGGAGATTAATTCTCTGGCCCATTTCACAGATTTTCTTTAATACAGAAACTGTGATCCTAAGCAATAAAGCTTAAAATTGAAGTTCAGAGTCTTTTACGTTAAATTCCTCAGAAGTAAACCATGAAAAGAAAACTCTTGAGCTGGTGATTAATTAAAGAAGTGCCCCGAGAAGAAACCAGGAAGTACAATGGGAAAGCAAGACAGGAAATGGGGTGACAAGCCAAGGGCCAAGCTTAGCCAGGTCCTCTAGGTAGCTCTAGAGTAAGTTATATCCCAAACTTGAGGGAGGAAGTTGGGCTTTCATAGCCCCAGTCATCAGATAGGAGATGTCTTAGACTGTGTAAACTCCCAGGATGCACAAATGCAGACAAGAGCATTATCTCAGGTAATAGACACTGACAGGAAAGGCCCACAGAGGCCAGAGAAGGGGCACAAAGACACAGTAAATTTAAGGGAGGGAACTGAAGGCTCTGGAACCCCAGGTGACCTACTGGCTGCCATAGAGTGAGCAATGGAGACTGGTCAGAGAAATCCTGGAATTGAAAATAATCGCTGCATAAAACTACTTACAGAATGAGTAGACAGAATATTTAGCTGCACAAATTAATCAGTTATGTTCTAAATACTCAAGGGTGTTTTCCAAGTTAGTATCATTTGGGTTTATATATCCCATATTCCAAAAAAAATGTTTTGGTTTTTAAAAGAAAATTTTAGTCAAACAAAGTGAGTAAAACATAGAAATAGCCCTTTGATTTAAGACAGAGTATGGAAAGGAAAGTTAGATTTATTGCAGAGAAGTCAAATTGAGTGTCTTGTCTATCAAGCAGATTCTTGTTTAAAACCAACAAATTTCACCTTCAACTTAAAGCAGCTATTCCTATAGCTTTGTTTGTCTAACTTTTAAAAAAATTCAAAGTGATTATTGCCAAAAATAATGAAAACTTCTCTAATTTATTCTCTTAAACTGCTGCTGATTGTTTTGCCTATCTAGTGTGTTCTCATCTAGAACTGCCTCTTTTTCTGTGTTTTCTCCTATAACACCTTAGATAAGAATTCAAAATTGTGCTAATCTTTTGATACTTCAGTATATTTTTAAGAACTATACATTGTAAAGGGACACTCTTTCTAGACACATATTGCCTTCAAAAATATATCATTTAAATCCACAAACAAAAATAGGAGCAAGCATGTATCGTGGCTTATATCTAGATGTCCCCTCAAAGCCTCATGCACTTACAGGTGAGGTATTTGGGAGGTGGCTACATCGCTAGTGTGTGATACTAGATTATAGGTGTCATAACTAGATTACTCCACTGGTAGTTCTAAAATAGTTCTAGGTGCAGATAATGGAAAGACCCACCCTGCATGTGGATTACAACCAACCAAAAGGCTTCACTGCCTCCTGCTTGTCATGCATAAACTTTCTCCTCTGCCATGCCCTCTGCTATGTCACCCTGCCCTGGCACCAGCTGACTATGGACCGAAACCTCTACACATTGGAAGCTAAAATAAAGCTTTCTTCCTTTAACTTGTGGGTATTGGGTATTTTCCCCCAGAGATGAGTAAGTAATGAAGACAGCATCATTTTACAACATTGGTATGATGTCTTACAGTCTTTCAGTTACTTCCAAGAGAAAAAGAAAAATGAAATATGTATACATTTAAGTGACATAGACAATGCTTAAAGTTTTATTTTATATTGCTCAAAAGGATACCATATAATTAGCTGTAAACTAAGTATGTGATATAATACAGTCACTCCCAAGGGGCAATTGGTCTGAACAAGAACTATTATCATTCTATTAGTTAAAAACACTTCTCCAACAAATTAAACAAAATTCTAGTATATAATTTGTCATATATATATATATATATACACATATACATATACATATATATATATATTCTCTATAACTGGTAACTTCATAAAATTAAATATCTGCTTTACAAGGGTAAAAATAGCCTGGTCATAAAGGATGAGAAATTAGATTCATTCATAGGAAAATGGATACATATTGAGGATATACTCCTAAGTGAAATAAATTAGTCACACATGTGTAAATACAGAAGTTTCTCTGATGTGAAAAACTATAACAGTACATAAGATCCTAATGAGACAAATGACCATGTGAAATAAGAAGAAAAGGGCTAAAGGTGCAGGGGAAGTGGGAAGGGTAGAGGAAAGGGAATAAGGGAAAAGAAAAAAATATGAGAAAATGAAAAAATGGAAATAAAGTGTTTGTAAATGGGGAAGGGAGGAGGGGGTGAAGGGAGGGCACAGACAAGGGGAAAAAATGAGAACCAAGACCTGTCATATAAAGGTACAAGATCCCAATAATGAACATAATTGTACTGTATACCTTAA